CTTAACTCGACTGGCCTGATCATATATTACACGTAGCTAGGATCACTCTTTCTACCAGGCTCCTCAATATTACAAAATACCATTAAAGTGGCATGAATAAAAGGTAATGCTTACAAAGAAAGAGGGAGTGTCCAACAGGCAAAAAAAATTTCCCTTTTCCCTGTCTTTAAACCATAAACCCATCTCAAGCACTCCCAAGCAGCCTCCCACATGACCGGCCCCAGAGTCAGCAGCTCTCCAGCAGGCAGAAATACCAGAGAAAAGGGAAAGCAGCTCATTACACCTTTCCGGTTATCTCCAACTACACTAACATGCCCTTATCTTGTTCAGCAGGCCAAGCTATTCACACTAAGGATGTTCCCTTTAACTACCCGGTCCAATTGGACCCGGTGCCAGAACAGCACGGGGTGAGAGCAGGAAGAGAGGGGAAATGGAGAAGGGTGGGGAGAGGAGGCAGAAGGAGGACGTAGCTCATGATCTCACCCTAAGGTGTACTGGGCCTTTGGCTGTAGGACAGCAGGAAGAGGGGAGTGAGGACAGAGTGAGGCTATGGCTGGACTTCACCCCTGTATTAATTCTAGAGCTGCTGTAAGTACCACAAACTGGGTAGCTTAAAACACAGAAATTCTCTCACAGTTCTAGCTGCTGGAAGTCCGAAACAAGGTGTTGACAGGGCCATGCTCTCTCTGAAGGCTCTAGGGGAAGATCCTTCCTTCTGTGTTCCAGCTTCTGGTGGTGGTTGTTGTTAGGTGCCATTGAGTCAGTTCTGACTCATAGCCACCCCATCTACAACAGAACGAATCACTGCCCGGTTCTGCACCATCCTCACAATTGTTGTTATGTTTGAGCCCATTGTTGCAGCCACTGTGTCAATCCATCTCGTTGAGGGTCTTCCTCTTTTTCACTGACCCTCTACTTTACCAAGCATGATGTCCTTCTCCAGGGACTAGTCCCTCCTAATAACATATCCAGAGTGCGTGAGACAAAGCCTTCCCATCCTCACCTCTAAGGAGCATTCTGGCTGTACTTCTTCCAAGGCAGATTAGTTCATTCTTCTGGCAGTCCATGGTGTATTCAATATTCTTCTCCAACATCATAATTCAAAGGCATCAATTCTTCTTCGGTCTTCCTTACTCATTGTCCAGCCTTTGCACGTATATGAGGCAATTGAAAACACCATGGCTTGGGTCAGGCGCACCTTAGTCCTCAAACTGACATCTTTGCTTTTTAACACTTTAAAGAGGTCTTTTGCAGCAGATTTGCCCGTTGCAGTATGCCTTTTGATTTCCTGACTGCTGCTTCCATGGGCATTGATTGTGGATCCAAGTAAAATGAAATCCTTGACAACTTCAATCTTTTCTCCATTTATCATGATGTTGCTTATTGGTCCAGTTGTGAGGATTTTTCTTTTCTTTATGTTGAGGTGTAATCCATACTGAAGGCTGTGGTCTTTGATCTTCATCAGTAAGTGCTTCAACTCCTCTTCACTTTACAAAGGCAAGGTTGTGTCGTCTGCAAATCATGGGTTGTTAACGAGTCTTCTTCCAATCCTGATGCTGTGTTCTTCTTCATATAGTCCGGCTTCTCGGATTCCTTGCTCAGCCTACAGATTGAATAAGTATAGTGAAAAAGATACAACCATGACACGCATCTTTCCTGATTTTAAACCACTCAATATCCCCTTGTTCTGTATGAACAAGGTTCCTCATGAGCACAATTAAGTGTCCTGGAATTCCCATTCTTTGCATTGTTATCCATAATTTGTTATGATTCACGCAGTCAAATGCCTCTGCATAGCCAATAAAATAAAGGTAAACATCTTTCTGGTATTCTCTGCTTTCAGCCAAGATCCATCTGACATCAACAATGATATCTCTTGTTCCACGTCTTCTTCTGAATCAGGTCTGAATCTCTGGCATTTCCCTGCCGATGTAATGCTGCAACAACTTCTACCAGTTTCTGGTAGCCCCAGGCATTCCTTAGCTTTAGGCAGCATCTCTCCAATCTCGGCCTCTGTCTTCACGTGGCCATCTTCCTTCTGTGTGCGTTTGTCTCTCTGTCTCATCTTCCCTTTTATAAGACGATTGGATTAGAACCCACCCTACTCCAATATAACCTCGTATTAACTGATAACATCTTTAAAGGCCTATTTCCAAACAGGGTTACATTCACAGGTACCACAGGTTAGGACTTCAACATATCTTTTGGGGGGCACAATTGAATCCCTAACAACCTTCAAGGAGGAGCCAGCAGTTGAGTTTGCAGTGTCCAAGTGGTCACACCCATCCCCTGAGGATTAGCCTCAATAGCAAAGCAATCCAGGTGGACAGGAGGGCACACGAATGTCACTCATGGTCAGGCATAAAGTTCTACCTCCCTCCAGGTTGAAGACATCTGCTATTGGGCAGGGTAAAGAGAGAGGGGCTACCCCTGAGGGAGAGAGGGACTGGTCAAGGCCAAACAGGGTGTCAGGGCCACCCCCTTGTCTCTGGCCAGGCTACCTAAGGCTTATTACCAGGCCCCAGTCTCAAGAAAGAAACAAGATGGCAACCCAGCACCAAGGCCAACCAGAAGCTCTGGGCCTGCACTGAGGATGAGAGGAGGGAAGGTTGCCACCTAGTGGTGATCCCACCAGGCACAGTGCTTGAAATTGCACAGTCATTGCAGGCACATCCCATGGGATTGAGGGGCCAGGAGTGCCAGTCTAAGGTTATATCAGGCACTGCAGCCAGGCTGAGCTGAGACAGGCAGGGGCTCACACATGGAGGGGCCAAATGACAAAATGCCAAAAAAACAGGAAAAGCCACCTCAATGGGTGGAAAGGAGGGAAAGATGGGGGCTCAGTGCCCCAAGCTCATTCCACAGCCAGGACAGAAGCCTGTGGCTTGGGAAGCCTGTGCAGAGCAGAGTAGACCCTGGGGTGTCACTGTGACTTTAATGGCAGTAATAAGCCTGTGGTTCCTGACTGGGGCGTCACTCACCCACACAGAGAGATAATATATTTTTCCTCTATGACAAGAAAATTGAAGCTATCTTTCAGTCTAACTCATCTGAGATATAAGTGAAAAATAAGACTATGTTCCATCACCTTCAATCTTTCTCTTCGCTCTGAGATAGCTCCTATTATTTCCCCTTATTTTTGTGAGCATGTTTTAAGTGTTAATGGATACAGCATCAGTCCCTCACTCCTGAGATTTGGGGAGCCTCTATTTTGTGTCTCCAGCCACAGCATGCAAGCTGAATTGCCTCTGCGGGTAGGTGTGCTGGAGGAGGGCAGAGAGGCAGAAGGCGTCATTGTGCCTGCCCAGCCACGAGAGAGAAGCAATGATCCCACAAATTCTGAGTCTATAATCGACGTTTGGAAAAGCTCTGGCTGAACCCACATGTGGGGCCAATCACCTTTATTCTGGTTGTTGTTGTTAGTCCCTTTGAGTCAATTCCAACTCGTGGCAACCCCATGTGTTACCGGGTAGAACTGCTCCATAGGGTTCTCTTGGCTGTCATCTTAATGGAAGCAGATTGCCAGGCCTTTTCGTGGTACCACTGAGTGAGTTCAAACCACCAAACTTCAGGTTAGCAGTCGAGCACAAACCATTTATGCCACCTAGGGACCTTGCTATAAATCGGAATCAACTCGACGGCAACGGGAGGGACTTTCCTTTGTTCTTATGTACCTTTTTAACCTCCACCCAAAAATAAGTGTATGGACATATCTGCTAATGAGACCACAAATAAGATATCCACTGGGCAACACTCCATCCAGGGCCATGTTGCTGTGGTTGTTCGCTGCCACCGAGTCAACCTCTAACACGTGGTGACGCCACACACAACAGAATGAAATGCTGCCCAGACCTGCACCATTCCCATGATTGGTTGGGGATCAGATCGCTGTGATCCATAGGGTTTTCATGGGCTGATTTTTTGAAGTAGATTTCTAGGCCTTTCTTCCTAGTCCACTCATCTGGAAGCTTTCCTGAAACCTGTTCAGCATCACAGCAACATGCAAGCCTCCACTGACAGATGGGTGGTGGCTGCACATGAGGTGCATTTGCTGGGAACCGAACCCAGGTCTCCTGCACGGAAGGTGAGAATTCTACCACTGAACCACCATCTCATCCAGTGCCATGAAGTGATACAGAATGTGCTGGCCACCCCCATTCTGAGTGCCACCCAGGCATTTCTCAGAGGCAAAACTAGCAACAGGAAAAAGTCTCAGAAGACAACTTCAGTCCATCAAGCCATAGGCGCCGTATGGTCAGAATGTCCTGCCAGGTCGTCAGGGTAGGATAATTAGGGCAGATCAGAGTATTCCATAAACTTGGAAAGGAGGATTTGGTCAATGACCACCTGGAATGCTCTCAGTGCCCCCACAGAAATTTGACATTTCATACATTGCCAGGAGAAACCACTGTTCTTCCAGGTCTTTGTCAGAGGTATTCTGGTCAGTAAAAAGTAAATTAAAAAAAAAGTTGTCATCGAGTCTATTCTGACTCATGGTGATCCCATTAGTGTCAGAGGGCAACTGTGCTTCATAGGGTTTTCAGTGGCTGATTTTTCTGAAGTAGATCACCAGACCTTTCTTCTGAGGCACTTCTGGGTGGACTTAAACCTCCCACCTTTCAGGTAGCAGCTGAGCTTATTGACTGTTTGCATTACCCAGGGTCACCTCTTCTGGCCCATACTCCTCTCCCTTTTCCCTGGCGTCCAGATGCAGTCAGGTTCCTCTGGCCCCACCTTGGTCCACGCCAAGAGCTCTAGATGGGGGTGAACTCCTTAGAGCCTGTCCGTAACTCTGGGTCTGAATCCCTAGGGGTCTCGGCAAGAAGGAAAGCACACGAAGCTGAGCACCCAGGCATTTGTCATGAGCAGCACAGAATGAACAATCAGTGCACATCCTGGCAATGACACTTTCTGCAGATGAGACGGAGTCACCCACGCACGTTTCTAATTGGTTGCTAGAGCTGAGTGAACACAACATCTCAGACCTTTCTGTTTTCCAGGCCAGCTAAATAAAGACGTGACCTATGCACAGCTCTACTCCTTCCTGAGCTGCCTCCAGGTGAGCTTACATCCTGATTTCTCCCAAGTTGCCCCTTCCTGTTGCTCGTCACAGTTCCTCTTTAATCAGAACGGTGTTTTCCTGCTCTCAGCTCAGCCCCTGCCAAGGCTGGATGTCTGCCAACAAGACGCTCCGGGCTCTCACTTCAGAGGTATGACCATCACAGGCCTCGTGATACCATCTTTGATCACTCTTGACTTGTGTTCACTGTGGTGTTCACACTGAACTCTGGCAGGGCTACCGTTTCTGAGCTAGTGAAGAACAAAATCAAAATGCCGGGGTGATGAGGGGCTGAGAGAACATGTGCCCTCTCTCTTTCCCTCTGCCTCTCTCTGGGTCTGTCTGTCACTCTTTCTCTCTCTGTGTGCTTCTCTCTCACACATGCACATGTGTGTACACATACACACACACACGCACCTTTTAAAGTTTGTCCTAGGCGTGTTTGTAGAGGTGGAGAGAACTGAGCAAGGTTAAGCCCTGTGTATGACTGGAGTTCTCTCGAGGCAAGCGAAGACCAGACGGTCCAGAACTTTCCTGTCTTCTCTGAGGGAATACACTATTCAAGCAAAATGTTCTCCTTTCACCTGTGGTGACCTATCTCTTTGTAAAATATTCATTGACGTATCTTTCTAATTACCAAAAAAACACGCCACTTGCCATGGAGTCAGAATAGAACTGCCCTCCATAAGGTTTTCAATGGCTGATTTTTCAGAAGTAGGTCACCAGGCCTTTCTTCCAAGGCACCTCTGGGTGGACTCAAACCACCAGCCTTTCAGTTAGTAGCTGAACGCGTTAACTTTTTGTACCACCCAAGGACTCCTATCTTTCTAATTACAAAAGAAACGTATTTCAATTAAAAAAAAAAAAAAACCTTGGATTAAAAAAAACAATAATAAAAATCACCCAAAATCCCATCTCCCCAAGTCTTATGTGTGTATGTCCTTCCAATATTACTTTCATAGATATTTTTGTTCTTTGCCTCTATGATATCAATACACACATACCATTTTATGCCTTCCAATGTTAATAAATTGTTCCTCCATGTGATAATTTGTAAGCATTCCATAGCATACAGTATATGAATCCACCATGATTTATTTCATCCCTTGGTGTTGGACATTTAGATTGTTTCCAATTTTTCACTATGATTAATAGCAGTGTGATGAACCTCCTTATGCATGTATCTTTGTGTACATCTCAATTTCCTTAAGACAAATTTCTAGAAGTAAAATTACTGGTCAAAGGATTTACTTGTTTTTAGGGATTGAGTCATATTGCCAAACTGCTCTCCAGAAAGGTTAAACCAATCGACATTCTCATTCACTGCTCCCACACCAAACTGGATCCAGTATCATCATGGTTATTCATCTTTTCTTTGCTAATCTCATGAGTGAAAAGTGGCCTCTTCTTAATATTAATTTGCACTTATTTGTTTTCTAATAAATTTTAACATTTTTCATATGTTCATTGGTCATTTGCCCAAGAATAGAATTTAATGTTCATAGCTACTCTCTGTTGATGGCTTGTTGTTGTGTGCTATCTAGTCAATTTCTACTCATAGCGACCCTACAGGATAGAGTAGAACTGCCTCACAGGTTCCTAGGCTGTAATCTTTACAGGGGAGCCCTGGTAGTACAGTAGTTAAGAGCCTGGCTGCTAACCAAAAGGTCAGCAGTTTAAATCCACCAGCCACTCCTTGGAAACCCTATGGGGTGGTTCTTCTCTGTCTCATAGGGTCGCTTTAAGTTAGAATCAACTCAACAGCAATGAGTTTGGTTTGGTTTTTGGTAATCTTTATAGGAGCAGATCGCCAAGTTTGTTTGTTTTTTTCCCATGGAGCTGCTGGCAGATTCGAATCAACAACCTTTGGGTTAGCAGCCAAGTGCTTAACCATTGCACCACCAGGGCTCCTTGATGATAGCTTAGAGAGAGAGGAGTGGGGTGGGGTGGGGAGGATCAGTTTCTTTGTTATGCCTGAATTGTCTGGCTGAAATCAAAGCCTGGCTTGCATGGAACCCTCTCTGTTTCCCTTGTACCCAGAGAGCAGAACTACTCTCCAGAACACTGAAAACAGTTGCAACCCGCGAGAAATTTACGAACTTCAATCTCTTCTACTTGGATTTTGCCTTCCAAGAAAGTAAGTTGCTTGTTTTAAATATTGACAGAAGACAAATTCAGCAGCTACTTTTTTTGAGCCTACCTGGGCAACACGTTATAAGCCAGCAGGCAATAGATCAGGCCGAGTCATTCCTGCCCATTCTGACACATCAATAGCTCCAAATATGGGGAAAAAAGGTAAGTGTGAAGTTCTTTCTGAGGTGGTGGAGGCTCAGCATCCCCTCCTTATTCTGCCATCATTTTAGGATCACTGAAGCAATAGAGCAAGCAACCAGTTGGAAAGGGCTTTGGGCTGGGAACCAACAGACTAATGGAATCACCTAACCTTTGCTTGCCAGTTCAGCAAATGCCCTACTTACTTTATAGGCTCAAGTGTGACAGGAAGGAGGGATAAGGCAGTGCCTTTCAAAGTGGGCACTGAAAGGGCACTCAGGAACAATGCAGATTCCTGATCCCATGCAAGATGAACCTAATCAAAATCTCTGAGGGGAGAGCTGAGAATCAGTCTGGCAAGGTGGACAACCCATATCCCAGCTTTCTGGGAAGACTATGACCAAATTTCCTTTCTAGCACTCCATCCAAATGCTGAGGTCACTGATGTGTGACCATGCAAAACCAGGCTTGTTTACTGGAGCTACTGATTTATCCTTTATATCTTGGCTCTAAAAAATTATTATTTATGACCTTTAATCCTTCCAGACTCATTTTCATTGCTAAGCACTTTTAATATAAGATGAAAGCCCCCTGTTGATTGACTGCCAGCTGAGATGATGCTAATGAAAAGCTTTATAGTGTATGCACCAGGATGAAAAATCTCTCGTCCAGAGTTTATCATCTCCATCTCCCCACCACCGCTACCCCAGCCCAAGCATCTGGGATGGAGCAGATGGCCATCATGAATTATCAAGTATTACATTAGCTGACACGTTTTGCATTGCATACACTAGTACCTCAATTCTGAGCATCTTTTCAGCAAGACTGATCTCCCTTAACTAGATTTCCTGCCTAGGTGATACACATTTCTCTCATGGGGAGAGACATTTTGATAAATAAGCTCTCATTAAAATGCAGAGTTAAAAACTCATTAGTGAAGTCCTGATGTAAACAAATGCACCACCAAGTGATATCTGATCAGCACCAACCTTGAGTATAGATAAAGTCATTAAAAATATAATAATGTCTAGCATTTGCGTGGGACTTTTTTGTTTTCCAAAGTGATCTCTAGCTCTGTCACTTATTATTTTTGGGACTGTAAACAATGCCCTGAACATATTTAATTACCCTTTGCAGACCTAGATGGGGATACCGTATCTTCCTAACAAGTCTTTTGATAATTATATGAAATAATGTGTAATCTTCCTCAACGATATGCCTGGTACATAGTAGGTACTCAGTAAACAGCACCTGTCCCTTCCATCCTTACTACTCAATGTGTGGTCCAGGACCAGCAGTACCAGCATCACCTGGTAACTAATTAGAAATGCAGGATCTCAGGCCTCACTCCAGAACTACCTAATCCAAATCTGAATTTTAACACAATCCCCAGTTAATCCACACATGTGCATTAAAGTTTAAGAAAAGGACTCTATAGTGCTCCAAAACTGAGAGCTTGGTCAGTCAGTCATCAGATCATTACTAAGTCCTACTATGTACCAGCAGCTATGTAGGTGCTGAGAATATAAACCCATTGTCATTGAGTCAACTCTGACTCATGGCAAATGCATGTGTTACAGAGCAGAACTGCTCCATAGGGTTTTCTTGGCTGTAATCTTAACAGAAGCAGATCTCCAGGCCTTTCTTCTGTGGTACCACTGAATGGGTTTGCACTGCCAACCTTTAGGTTGGTAGCCAAATGCAAACCTTTTGTGCTGTGTAGGGACCTGCTGAGAATATAGTTGTCAACAAAACAGATACCTGGAGGATACAGAGATAAGAATTTGTCCTTCACTGAATATTGACCATCATTGGCCTGGTGAACTATCACGCTTGGAAGCTGAGGCTCATCAGTCCTTTCTTTTTCTTTTTTTTTAATTGTACTTTAGATGAAGGTTTACATTACAAACTAGTTTCTCATTAAACAGTACACATATCGTTTTATGACATTGGTTAACAATGCCACGACATGTCAACACTGTCCCTTCTTGACCTTGGTTCCCTAATATCAGCTTTCTGTCCCCTCCTGCCTTCTAGTCCTTATCCCTGGGCTGGTGTGCCCCTTTAGTCTTGTTTTGTTTCATGGGCCTGTCTAATCTTTGGTTGAAGGGTGAACCTCAGGAGTGACTTCAGTACTGAGCTAAAAGGGTGTCCAAGGGTCATACTCTTGGGGTTTCTCCACTCTCTGTCAGACCAGTAAGTCTGGTCTTTTTTTGTGAGTTAGAATTTTGTTCTACATTTTTCTCCAGCTCTGTCCAGGACTCTCTATTGGGATCCCTGTCAGAGCAGTCAGTGGTGATAGCCGGGCACCATCTAGTTGTACTAGACTGTCTGGTGGAGGCCGTGGTAAATGTGGTCCATTAGTCCTTTGGACCAACCTTTCCCTTGTGTCTTTAGTTTTCTTCACTTTTTCTTGCTCCTGAAGGGGTGAGACCAGTGGAGTATCTTAGATGGCACATCTAAGACCCCAGATGCTACTCACCTAAATAGAATGTAGAATATTTTCTTTATAAACTATGTTAAGCCAATTGAGCTAGATGTTCCCCAAAAGTTGACTCTTTGAAAGGATCAACAAAATCAACAAACAACTGGCCAATTGACAAAGAGAAACAGGAGAGGCTGCAGATAACCCAAATAAGAAATGAAATGGGGGACATTACAACAGATCCAACTGTAATAAAAAGGATCATAACAGAGTATTATGAAAAACTATACTCCAAAAAATTTGAAAACCTAGAGGAAATGAATAAATATCTAGAAATACTACCTACCTAAACCAACACAAAACAATGTTGAAAATCTGAACAGACCCATAACAAAAGAGATTGAAAAGGTAATTTAAAAAAACTCCCAACAAAAAAAAGCCCTGGCCCAGATGGTTTCACTGGAGAATTCTACAAAACATTCAAAGAAGAGCTCACACTACTACTACTCAAACTATTTCAGAACTTAGAAAAGGAAGCGATACTTCCAAATTCATTCTATGAAGCCAGCATAACCCTAATACCAAAACCAGGCAAAGACACAAGAAAAGAAAATTACAGAACAATATCTCTCCTGAATATAGATGCAAAAATTCTCAACAAAATTCTAGCCAATACAATTCAGCATCATATCAAAACAAAAATACACCATGATTAAGTAGGATTCATACCAAGTATGCAAGGATGGTTCAACATTAGAAAATTAATCAATGTAATCCACCACATAAATAAAAGGAAAGAAAAGAATCACATGATCATCTCAATTGATGCAGACAAGACATTTGACAGAGTGCAACACCCATTCCTGATAAAAACTCTCAATAAAATAGGTATAGAAGGGGAATTTCTCAACATAATAAAGGGCATCTATGCAAAACCAATGACTAACATCATTCTTAATGGAAAAAGGCTGAAAACATTCCCCTTGCAAACAGGAATAAGATAAGGATGCCCTTTATCACCACTCCTATTTAACATTGTACTAGAAGTCCTAGCTAAAGCAATAAGGCAGGAAAAAGAAATAAAGGGCATCCAAATTGGCAATTAAGAAGTTAAACTATCCCTATTTGTGGATGATATGATACTATACATAGAAAACCCAATAGACTCCACAAGAAAACTACTGGAACTAATAGAAAGGTTCAGCAGAGTAGCCGGATACAAGATAAACATACAAAAATCAGTTGGAGTCCTATACACCAATAAAGAGAACGATCAAAAGGAAACCAGGAAAACAATATCATTTATAATAGTCCCTAAAAAAAGAAAACACTTAGGAATCTAATCAGGGGTGTAAAATACTTATACAAAGAAAACTACAAAACATTACTGCAGGAAACCAAAAGAGATCTACATAAATGGAAAAATATACCATGCTCATGGATAGGTAAGCTGAACATTATGAAAATGTCAATTCTACCCAAAGCAATTTGCAAATACAATGAAATCCTGATCCAAATACCAACAGCATTCTTTAAAGAGATGGAGAAAATAATCATTAACTTCATATGGAAAGGAAAGAAGCCCCGGATAAGTAAAGCACTATTGAAGAGGAATACAGTAGGAGGTCTCGCACTACCTGACCTCAAAACAGACTAATAGTGGTACAATTACAGATACATTGACCAATGGAACAGAACTGAGAACCCAGATGTAAATCCATCCACCTACAGTCACCTGATCTTCGACAAGGGCCCCAAGTCCATCAGATGGAGAACAGACAGTCTTTTTAACAAAGGGTACTCGTAAAACTGGATGTCCATCTGCAAAAAAATGAAACAGGACCCATACCTCACATCATAAACAAAAACTAATTTGAAATGGATCAAAGACCTAAATATAAAGCCAAGAAGTATAAAGTTCATAGAAGAAAATATAGGATCAACAATAGAGGCTCTAATACATGGCATTAACAAGATACAAACCATAACTAACAACACACAAACTCCATAAGATAACCTAGATAATTGGGATCTTCTAAAAATTAAACACTTATGCTCATCAAAAGACTTCACCAAAAGAGTAAAAAGAGAACCTACAGACTGGAGAAAAAAATTTGGCTGTTACAAATCAGATGAAGGTCTAATATCTAAAATCTACAGGAAAATCCAACACCTCTACAACAAAAAGGCAAATAATCCAATTAAGAAATGGGCAAAGAAAATGAACAGACACTTCACCAAAGAAGACATTCAGGCAGCCAACAGACACATGATGAAATGCTCGCAGTCACTAGCCATTAGAGAAATGCAAATCAAAACCACAATGAGATATCATCTCACCTCAGCATTACTGGCAAGAATCAAAAAAAACAGGAAACAATAAATTTTGGATAGGCTATGGGGAGATCGGAGCTCTTATGCACTGCTGGTGGGAATAAAAA